CAACATTGATTGATCGGATCACTGGTATCTAAGTCTTCCGTTGTGCTATCTTATACTTTGTATTGAAAGGTCGGTTCTTGTTCTGGTCTGCACGTTACAGTATGCAACAATATCTCAGGCACTAGCAACTGGTATTTATCATGGTCTCACCGAGATGCATCCTTTTTGAAATTACGTCTTTCTGAAGATTCTGAGTTGTAAGTGGGCTTGCACATGATCTTATAATATAATAAAATGGGAATAGCACAAACAGAGGGCTGTGCAGGGTAAAATAAAAAAGGTTCTTATTTGTTATCATGCCTTGCAGGTCCTTGTGGTTCAGAAAACTGATTGCGGCGTATTGACTGCAGTAGCCATCAAGCCCTGGTCTTGATAATTCAGCAAATCTTATCATGGCCACGCAATCCATACTTTGTGGATTAGGAATGGGAGGTGATCCAAAGGAGTGTTGTTTTACAGTTGCATCGTCCCAGTAGAGATGCTGGGCTCCCCATGCATTGTGTGTGTCACTCTCACTCACTATCAACTCTTGCACGCACTTGCATCTTCACTTGTGGTTCGCTGGTGTCTCCTCCAGCCTCTCGTCTGTTTCTGGATTTCATGGACCATCATGCACTGTCTCCACTATTCCCTGGTTCTAGACAAAACTTCTTTTAACAGTTTTTAATTTAATTGTTTGATGCAAATAGTTTTGTAACAATGTGAAGTGTGTTTTTATCATCTCTGAAAAGAAGGAATGTAACGAAACAATGGTTTCAATGACACTGCCCCAAAGTGGGAAACGGGTCTGTCGGTGGCAATGCACCATGGCATCTCCTCCAGTCTCTCGTCTGTTTCTGCTAACTTTCTGGATATCACAGGCCATCATCCACCGTCTCCACTATTCGCTTATTCCAGACAAGAGGTCTTCTTTCTTAAGTTTTCATTTTCTGATGCAAATAGTTTTGTAACAATGTGAATGTTATTTTGATCTCTTAAGAGAACGTCAAATGTAACAAAACAATGGTCACAATCACACTGCCCAAAGCAACAAAAACGACATCACGCTGCCCCGTAGTGGTAAATGGGTCATATAGATTATGCAATGTGCATCCTGTTTTTCCCTGTGTGGCGGGGTTATCTTTCTGGTGACCCCCTTGTTCTCTCTTTCTTATTACATGGACACATGTCTGATGCGTCACTGTCTGTGTTTTACCCCCTTTATGTTTTCTGCCAGTTGGTTGAACTCCATGAACATAAAGTATTATGAGAACAGGCTGAACCTTAACTGGAAGGAGATTTTGAGGACCATCACAAGTGATCCAGAGCATTTCATCAAGGAGGGGGGATGGGAGTTTCTGAACATGGATGCAAGTGATGAGGTGAGTGACTGGTGCAGGATTCTTCAAGTATGTACAAAACTGTGAGCATGCCCCATAGAGGGTAAGGGGACCCGTTCAATCAGACAACATACAGAGGACAAGTTACATTCCTTTTTCGAACTCTACTCTCCAAAATGACCTTTGCACTTGTATGGATGCATTTCAAGACCTCCTAGGAAGAGCTCGGGGGGGGGGGGGGGGGGAGGTACCGTGATTGAAACTCCAGTTTCCCAATATCCTAACCAGTGTAGTCCCCCGTACGTGGTACGGGGGGTCGCTGTACGGGGCGTCCACACGGACAGACGGACGCCCGTACGGCCATATGGCCGGTTCCCGTCCGAACCTGCCAGGGACCG